ACGTGTGAGGTCTGAACTGGTGGAAACAAGGAATGTTGTTCATCCGAACCTCTGCCATGAACATAGCTACAGAATAGTGAGAGACTAGTACGATGTCGTCTGTGAGATAAGGTATTGGTGGATGGAAAACAGTAAAGACAAAAGCAAGTAACAAAAATATGCTTGTGCCTGAAGGTAACCAGTTAGGCATGTCATTTTCCTGGCTTGCTGATGCATCATTCAATTATAATAGTCATTTCAAAAGGATCTGTATATGTATCTTGATCCACTAGATGAGAGCTCGCGTAAAGCTCCATCTTAACACTGGATACATTTTCAATAGCTTCAAAGATTATCATGTTTATCGTTTATTATTTAATAACTTGTAAAAAGCTAATGAACATCAATATTTAGTCGAGTATTTCTGTCATACGAAGACATATTTTTTAACTCCTGACTTCCAGAATAAAAGTCCACGTCCTATTTGCCTCAGAGATATCGTTTCTTTCTCTCTAAGATATTTGCGCATGCGTAAGAGAGACAGGTCCAGACAAAATAAAATGTTTTGGGGTAGAATAATGAGAAGAGAAATAGACCTATCAGTCTCTAACTAAGTTGCAATAGATAGAACAAGAATAGGAATACGATAATTTTGAATGATTAAAAGAATGACATACTACTGCACATTCAATTGTGCACATGTGTGGACGTATATAGTTTATACCAGCATATCATTTAAGATGCAGTTTAAACAGGAAAAGAAATAGACTAAAATTGGAAACATTTTATTCTGTTTTAAGAATTAGACTAGTATACACAGAACTACCGACGGATCTGAGATTCTGAAAACGAAAGAAGAAAAAAGAAGAAAAATTGAACAGAAACAAGGCAGCTGGGCCAGACGGAATTGTAACGGAAATGCTGACAGCCTTAGATTACTTTGGTATAGACAAAATCACAGAAATAATAATTGAAATCTACAACAGCGGGGATATACCGGAAAACCTGAACATATCTATCTTCGTAGCTATGCCTAAGAAACCAGGTGCAAACGAATGTGAACTCCACTAGACAATCAGTCTAATGAGTTCCGTAACAAAACTCATCATCCGTATTCTGATGAATAGAGCACGCAACAGAATCAGGTTAGAGATAGGACAAGAACAGTGCGGGTTCGTTAAAGATACCGTAACAAGGAATGCAATATTCATGTTCAGAATGTTATCAGAATGACCGATACAAATGCAGAAGGATGCGTTTCCTAAACTAAACAAAGGCCTTCGACAAAGTACGCCACAAGGATCTGTTGGAACTACTCAGCAACCTTGATATATTCGGCAAAGATATTAGAGTAATCAAGAGGACGGTAAGTGCGACACCAAGATCCGTCGACGTATTGGAATGGCCAAGGATGCATACCAAAATCTGGGAAAATTATTGCGAAACAGGAGAATTTCTTTGGTAACAAAGAAAAGAGTACTGAGATGTTATGTGACATCTGTCCTTCTTTATAGCAGCGAATGTTGGACGGTCTCCTGAAAGATGAAGATGAGACTTGAGGCGATGGAAATGGGTTTCTACAGAAGGATGCTGAGGATATCATGGACCGAAGATGCAAAGAAGTAGGAGGCTTATATTTAACAGGAAGAGGCAGCCGAAGTTTCTGGGACATGCAATAAGGAAGTAGGGCCTGGAGAATCTGATACTCACAGGTCGAATAGAGGGAAAGAGATACAAGGGAAAACAATGCTTGATATATCTAGCGTGCTTAAGTAATTGAACGACAGAACGTGGTTTGGGGAGGTGTCAGAAGAATGAAACTTGTTGAGAGCTGCAAGGGATAGAGAGAAGTGGAGAGCCATGATCGCCTACGTCCTGAAAGAACACGGCACATAAGCAAAAAGATAGTTAACAATTTCAAAGTACTCTTCTTAGCAAATACAGGTTTCATCAAGATTAAATTATTACCTTCCATGTTCCTAACCTGGCACTTTGCATATTTGATAAGGCAAGGTTATTTTTCAAATATGTTTCTACATGGCACAAATATTTATTTCCGGGAAAATTGAACAGGTATAATTAAATAAATGATTATTCTGCCTATATCACAGAATTAGTCAGTGTCACGAGAAAAGAATTTCAAAATACCTTCAATATCACAGATTCAGTCACTATCACGACAAATGGAAGAAAGTACTGTGCCATTTTTTACATGATCACTTTGAAGGTCCTTTTTCGATCTTCTTCTTCCATGGGCAAAGTCCCTTCAGAGCGGGGTTGAACATGGTTGCCCACAATCTACTATTCCTTGTCGCGCTTCGTAACGTTTATCTCTGTGTATGGCCTCCAACCCTTCGTTCTGCCATCCATTCACACAAGCTCGACGGGTAGGTATCCCATTGCCTTCGCCTGTCTCTCTTGCTTTTGTTATGTCTTTTGAATGTCAAATTCTCCAAGTCCTCCTTCGTCATTATGCATCAAATACATTTTAGCTTTGCCTTTTTTAATCCTGTGTCTAAGTGTCCTTTTTGTTTCCATTTTTCTCAAGACTTCATCGTTGCTTATGTGCTCCTTTCATGGTATTCTCAGCATCCTTCTGGCAAACCCCATTTCTGGTACCTCCGATTCTCTCTCCATCTGTGAGAAGATTGTCTAACATTTACTGCCGTATAGGTGGATTGATATTTTATAACAGTTTATCGCCCATTTCTTTGCTTCTAAAAATTTTTTTCCAGCTTCTTAGTAATTTTCTTCACTTTTGGAATGCCTCTTTTACTATTCCAAGTACGTGTTCGAATTTTGGTGTCGTATTTTCTACAATATCTACAGGAAAAGAAACTAATAATTTTTCTGCTCCAATGTTTTGTTTTGAGTTCATTTTGCTTTTCAGTTTACTTAGTAACAAAGCAAATAGATTTCGTATCGAATTTTACCGTTTTAAAGTTAGTTTAAATCCAATCGGATATTATATGCTATATGCTGTAAGAACTAAAAAAAAAAACGAACCGGCAAATATATTCTGTCTATGGAAATTAAACTTTAAGTTTCAGTGCATGCCAAGAATGTTTTAATCATTTTCAATCAGGAACATTTTCTCTGGTGATTCTTCCCGATTTAAACGACCAATTTCTGTCAATATTGTTCTTCAGCAAACTGCATTTGAGGAAAATACTATGCAAACCACACGGGAATTAACAAAATAGTTCAATACAAATCCCGTTTTCGAACATAAAACACTCACATGAACGCGTTAAGTTTCTAAACTTGTCCAGTGAGTGCCTTATAATATGAATCTTCAGCCTAATCAAATATTTGACTTCTGCTCAGCCTTTAAGAGGAGATTTTCTAACGTACATTTTCTGGGAATAATCCTAACCAATAACGAAGATTTTTGTAATCATATCCATCGAAAAAGACCAAGGTTAGCACCCACTGAAAACCACTCGAAAAGAAAGTTATATTCTGTGTTTCATGTGATATGAAGATTATGGTCTATCACGAAGTATTTAAACCCAAGCGAAACAATTAACAGAGAAACATATTGTCTTCTATTGGAAGTATTCCACAAAGATTTGAAAAGCATATGCCCATAATTCTTTAATTATAAAGGTTAGCTGTTCATCTGCAAAACCATAGATTTGCCCGAATTAAACAGAGAAAAGTTATGGTACTGAATATGGGAGCTTTGCTTCATCCTCCTTATTCTTTTGACCTTGTACTATTTTATTATCATCTTTTCAGATAATTGTAATATTTAGTGAGGAAAAAGATTATTAAATGTGTAGAGGTTAAAACTGATTTGTAGTGTTTCTTTAGATTGAAATCTGAAGAATTTTAAACACAAAAATGGTGAAAATATATCAGTTAATACGAAAGATGAATTTTTTTTTATTTTCAAATGTGACAAGACGTCCTTTCCAAACTAGTATACACACACACGCACACACACGCACACGCACGGTGGAGTAATGGATAGCGGCTTGGATTGAGGAATCGCGGAGCCGAGTTCGAATTCCAGTCGAATCCATTACATTCACATACGTGCTAATACCCTTGGGAAAGGTATGAATCCTCTTCCTCTCCCTCCAGCTATGGGTAAAATAGCAGGACAGACTGGGTTCTATAGCCTTGGATGGCAACTGGTCTAGGAGAAGGACAACTCTGAATTTAAAACCTGCGGAGGGTCGTTTGGGAACCTTGTGGCATTCGGTGCACCAGGTCTCTGTATTCGTCCCTTCAAAAGTGTGGATGGTTCTGAACGAAACCTTCATCACTATAATCAAATCTCATGTGTCGTTGTTGGGCTGTCGGTTTCCTGGAAACTGATCTGCTTGACCCTCATACGTCGAATATCGACGGGAGAGTCGATTATATATATATATATATATCGAGAGAGATTAAGATTTTAATACTAAGTTGCACTCAGCTTATCTTAATGGTTTACTGTTAAAATGGTTATGGGATGTGTGATACCAATGAAGGACGGGTTGATTGTAGCAAGTGAATATTATGAATTTAAAGATAGACAACCACTGACTTTTGACTTAAAGAAGTTAAGATTGTAATTTATAGAGAAGCATTCATACTGGTGTCTGTTCCCCAAAAGTAGAAGTTCTTGAGAAAAATGATCTCTGATTGGAACTTGCTCCTAAAGTTAGCAGTTACTTAAGTTGATTCATATGGGTGATTCAATTTTGTGGAAGTAGCATCGCGTATCCGAACTGTAAAGGAGGGAGATGAAACAATGGCGCTCACCTGAACATTATCCATGGAAATAGTGATTCAGTAGCTATAGCCGATGTTGCGTCTGTCGGAAAAAATTTACAAAGAAACATGTCATCCGCACAATACCGCATAAACTATTTTGAATCCTGTCCAGGTTGAAGAACGTTGATTGAGAAGTTACAGCCCATATATGGCAGCAATATTGTAATTTATATAGAAATAGACGCCCTTTTAAAGTCTAATATTTTAGATTTACACAGAAGGAACTATAATTTTCATTTCAATTCTTAATGGGCTTACGGCCACATCACGTTGAAACACCGGTCCCCGTACGATCACTGAAGTTAAGCAACGTCGAGTCTGGTCAGTACCTTGATGGGTGGCCGCTTGGGAATACCAGATGCTGTAAGCATCGATATGCATATTTTGTAATCCATAATGGGTCGGAAATGTTAATCGCAGAGTCGAGTTCAAATTCCAGTTGGGTTCGTTATATTCAGTTTCGCGCAAATCCCCTTGGGAAATGTATGAATCTATTTCTTCTCCCCCAGCTATAGATTAATCAGTAAGACTTCTATCACTAAATCTTTATTATTTCCACAAAAAATACATTATTACACTCTAAAAAAGATTTAAATAGCGTATAAAAGGTTGATTAGCCGTAGAAAACGAATCAATCAAAAGCATATTCAATTCTCAAATGACGAATTATCATCTGGATTAAAAGCACTATTGCGGATTTTAGCGCGCAACTCCGAATCTTTTCAGTATTTAACAATTTTTCTCGCTAGAATCTATCTTAAAACTTTTATAATGCTACCATTCGTCCATACATTGAATATTGCTGTTACATCTGGTCGGGTGGTGTTTATTTAGAGAAAATTATGCAATGTTATCGCTCCTGACCCAATATTTCGGCTTCAGCCATTTTCCTACCGCCGTACCATAGTTTTTTCTATAAATATTTTCATGGTAATTGCTCTGATGAGCTTTCCCTTTGGTTCTTCGCGGTACTAGATTGGCCGCTTGGTCTTACTATTTTTCACTTGAAATTGCTAGATGTGACCGTAAGTTCTTTGCTAACATTTTGTTCTCTCTGACTTCTCCCTAGTGGAACTCATTTCTGGCTTCTTGCTTTCCAGTCAACTTTGATCTTCAAAAATTTAAATGCACTGCCAATTGTCATCTTCTGTCTCATTGAATCTTGTTCTTTCTCTTTGACGATGTTTTTTTTTAATCAGATTCTTTCACACTCATTAATCTCTTGCGTCGTAGTAGCTTTATCGCCTTGTTTCCAGAGTTTTAAAATGTGTTTGACGAGAGCTTCAAGAACCACAAATACTCGTTGTACTTACATTTTTAATGTTTAAAATACTCTTTCTCCAACACGGCAGTTTAGAACAAACTTTCCACACGTTGATCCTTCGTTTTATTTTCTAATCTTTAAGCTAAGTCAGCAAGTCCTTGGTAAATAAAAACTGTAGTCAGACGTATCACAGTAATTTTAATGTTTCAGATAATAGCTGTTCTGGCTTCTCATCGGCCTGTGTCTATTCTTCTATCTCACGCGTTAAATAACGTTTACATAATGAAAACACTTGGCGTCACTCTTCCTAACCAGTCTTTCACTGACCAACGATATAACTTTATGGCCCAATACAAGTCATGTGCATGCCAGTATGTGAATCGATGGTCAATCATTTAAGCCCAAGCTGATGACAGTAATGGCTGCGTCGTTCGACAGGCAGACCCTTTCGCCCACCAACAAAAGTTTGAGATGGTTTCACTGAGATTTCGAAACCAGCCGGGCGTATATTTCGAAGCTGCGAGAATGGGACCCCGTGCTGGACCGTTATGTGCGCACTGATTAACGAGCCACTAAAACGTAAATAGAACAGATCATATGAATTATTCAACAGGGAACTCTGTCTCCTTGCTGCGATCAAGTGTTTACATTCCAATAAGTGGGTTATCGAGCGGATAGGAATCTGAAATTGAAACCGTTTTAGGAATTCATAAATTATCCATGAGGTTTGAATATAGACGAACACAGAGAATTTTGAGGATAAGAAAACGTAGATCTGGGGGAAGGTTCGCGCCATGATGAAAAATCTGTTCGCTTATGAGCGATCAAGTAGAAATAAGAATTCCTTCTCTTTTAACACTTCTAGAACGTTACACTGCCGATAACTATATTTATATATTAGCTAAAAGACTGACCGTTTAAAAATACATACTTACATCTAAGTTAAAAGCATTATCGTTTTTGTTTTCTTTTGTTTCAAACAAGCTCTCGTTTAGGACAGAAATATGCTCGTCCATATATTCAATAAATAACCACGGTGCAGAACAACAAACATACATAGACAATTACCATATGAATTAAAATTCATTAAGTATACCAAGCATTATATATATATAATATATTCATATATTTTAGGATATTTAAAAAAAACATGTTTTTGTTTTAATATCCTAAAATAAATAATATTTAGCTCTACTATTAGGAGGAGAAAAGAAAAAGAAAAACTGTAAAATACAAATTATTAATAAAAATGGTGAGGGGGGAGAAAAGACATACAGGTAAAAGAGTTAATGTAAATAAATAATGAGTATAAAATGGAAAAGGTCATTCACATACCTCCTAAGACAGAGAGAGCGAACAAAATGTTATTTCTGTCTGCACAGAGACGGTTGATGTAACTTTTAAAAAAAAATCTAATATGCCTAAATGTTGAGCAGACGAGCTTTGTACAGGACCGTCAATGAATCGTCAGTATATCTTGCCTGACACTCCGAATTGTCTAATAAATGCTGACTAATGACAGAGTTGTGAACAGACAAGTCAACGCGTATTGCAATTAAAAATAAATTTGTCTTATATTCACAGGAATATGTTGACCTCTCCTTGTGTGACACCATTTACGAGGCAGAGAAAGAAAAAGAAAGAAAAGAAGGCAGAAAGAAATGCGAGACGAATCGTGGGTGATAAGCAGACACACACGCGGCTAAGAGACAATGAAAATATTGATAAGTAACAAATGGCGAAAAGGGTGTCATTACAACGACAGGGAAATTCTGAGTAAAAAGAAAAGGGAAAGAAAGAAAGAATCAGATGTGTTTTGATAACGGCTGTGTTATCTAGGAGTACGTAAACAAAACGGCTGGTCGACTGGCCAACGAAAAATTCAATTGAAAACGTTAATTTTGATAATTGACAAAACACAGGTGTAACTACAGGACTTTGGGTAGATATGAAAAATTAAAAGCCACACAAGCCGTGTCCGCTGACCGATTTTTTTTTCGACGAAACAACTTTGGCCTGCGATAATAAAATTATGTTATCAGAAATATGTACCGAATGAAAATGAATGGGGACCCAGAAGTGTTTTTTCTTCCTCCTTGGAGGCGACAGACTGACTGAAACTTTAGAGATATTTCTTTTTTGAGGCCGTGTTAAGAAGACCACCCATTTTGATAATTAGCGATAAAATACCTGACAAAAAAAACCACGTGTAGAACAAGAGTTGTCATATTGTCCGTTTGCGGCTAGAAAAATGATAACGGCGATTAAAGCGGAAGAAAAGGAAAGAAGAGATAATTTTTTTAGTTAAGCAAGATATTTTTTTTTCCCGAAACAAAGCCACGGATTTTTCACGCCCGACTAAGACATCATTGGTCAAGTGGTGATCACGTGACGCACGAAGGAGGAGGAAAGATACCCGACTAAGACCTCATTGGTCGAGTGGTGATCATGTGACGCACGAAGGAGGCTGTCGACGCCTCATCCAGAGTATAAGTATGAGAAGCTGCTACGAAGAAGTGGGAAGGGCAGTTCACGCCCTCTGAAGTATGGTGAGAAAGTGGGAGTAAGGAAAGGTTCCCAAAAAATGGAAAAGAGTGGAAAATCCCTAACCAGAAATAAAAGAGGAGGATATGTATTTAGAATTATCGAGGAACCCCCCGACGCCAACAGACCCACCCCGGTTTTGGTCGGCGTCAATAAAAGCGAGGCCCCAACAGGCAAAAATCAGAGTTCGGACTTCAGCGGAGAGTTGAGTTTCCAGAGTTGAGTTCCAGCAGTTCCAGTGAGTTCAGCTGACTAAGATTCACGCAAAATTCCGAACTCCTCTTCAACCCAAGAACAATTATTTTGAAGAGCGACTCAGAACCAGACCACCGAAATAAGTTTTTTTTTTCGACTTTCGTCCAAAGACACACCGAAACGCCAATTTCTTAGAGAGCAAACAACTTAAAGCGTTAAAAACTTGCCTAACAGAAAACGACGTGTCACAATCCATAGAACGGGTCGGGAGATAGATGCAGTCCTATGTATCGAACAACTAGACATAAAGTTTGTTACCTTTTTCTTTGATACTTTGAACTTTGTGAGTTTTCATTTTATTTTCTTTTATGCATATTTGTGTAGTATCACCCCCGTTGAACTCAGTTTGCATTACGGCCCCAACCACTGTTTGATCTCGTCTGTCTAAGATCAATTCACAACGTGGGTAGGCAGACTGGAGATCAATGCAGTTACCTTGGTAACCAGGCGTTGGAAGCGAGTTGGGAATGATGAGGCTGATATCAAATCTAACCAGATTCCCACCCGAATCACCAAAAGGTTAGAACGTCACATTTGGGTGCCACGACCGATACCAAGCCAGTTGGTCGTCACAGGACGAGACAACACGACTGACGCGACAGGCGGACGTCACGTTTGGAGCAGCGACACCCGAACGGAGCAGCGAGGAGCGAACAGCTGGCGTCGCGGCGAGGACGTCACAATTGGTGCTGTTTGGAGACATCACAACTGGCGCCGTGGTAGATCAGGATAGAATGTCACAGTCGGCGCTGCGACCGGGGGACGACGTCACACTTTTTTCGGGTTGCTGATTGGTTCGTCCGACATAGTCAGTCTCGTAATGTCATTTTAATTTATAAACAACAGAACTACTTTGAAGTTAGGACAAACCATCTTAGACAAACGAGGGAAAAACCGGATTATACCTGAAGAAAACACATAACCAAAGCGCCGAAAGATCCGATGTAAAACGAGCCAACATCTATTGGCTAGTCTCTTACTTTTCTTGTCCAGCCAGGATAATTTCAAATATACGGGACGCAGGGCAAGACCAAAAACTACCGAATCCTTGAAGCATTTAATTTTGCGTTCAACCGTGCGCTTGATGACATTCTCATGATACCCATTTTCACTGTAAATGCTATAAAAGTTCTCTATTTCTTTGACAAATCTGCAAGAAAAACATATCAATGCACTGTGAACTAATGTAGAAAAAATACTTAAGAAAAACGGTTTCTTGCGTTTTTAAATCTATGGATATGTTGTGTGTTGTCAATCTTCTGTTTATATATATATATATATATATATATATATTAGGGTGGGGCA